GGTATCGATGCAAACGACCAGTTTTAAGGAATTGCAGGATTACTCACATCTGACTCTTTGTATTTTAGTAAAGCTTTTTGCGTGTATGCAGGTTCTGAACAAGTGCCTTCTCAAACAAAAACTAAGATTGAACTTATCATTTTGTGACCGACATTATTGAGGAGCGCTATTATATCAAAGAATTTGATAACTAGATTGGATGTGAGGTTGAGAAGTTTCTGATTTATTTTGCGTAGGGTGCTTGCGTAGTGAACATGAGATAATGTTGTATGTAGGCGGATTCAGATGAGTCTTAAAAATCAAGGAGTTCGTCTTGGGACTTGCGTATAATGTTAAATGATCAGTTCTTTTACTGATCCATTTTAGCCCGATAAAGCTCTCATGGCCAAGCTTATCGAAGCTTTCGACATGATGACTGCGCAAGAAAATCAGTTTTTGGGTGTTCTCAAGAATATTGTGGTAGGTCCTGGCATGTTCTATTCAAGCCTTCTGCCACACAGTAAATTTCTAGGATATTCACAATCAAGCCACAAATGATGTGGCTGAGGAAATGCAAATTAAGAAAGCAGAAGCAAAAACCGAGAAGCCGCCCACTGAAGAGGCGAAGAAGGAGAAGAGTGACGAAAAGGAAGAAGATGATGGTACCAGTCTTTTCAGAAATTTCTTAATACTGTGTCACTCGAGAGTGTTTTTCAGAAAATGATGAGGAATTGATCAGAGAGACACTGAAAGAGTTAGAAATGGTCTCACTGAAAGCACTTGCAGCCGCTGAATTGAATGAAAAGTTGGTGGAGACACTGCAGAGACATAAGAAAAGTGTGAGTATTTTACATTTGCGTACTTTGATTGTTGAATTTAGCGCATTCTATAAGTTCTTTCTCTTGCTCAAAGCTTGAGACATTATCCAGTGACCGGTGTGCTTACACTGTGGTAAAAACTAGTAGGGAAGGGAGGGTTGTGGAAACTCTAAATATACTCAGGTAAAGTCACCATATCTGATCTGCAGGAAAATGCTGATGAGGGCAAAGCCATCCCATAGAAGTATAATTCTCTACAGTTTTGCTATCATTTTTTATCTCTTCCATCCAAAATGCAGTGTCCCAAAAAATTGTATCGAACGTTTGATCTCTAACAACTTCCTTATATGGA